TTTTTTTTGGAGATGGAATCTTGCTCTGTCACCCATACTGGAGTGCAGTGGCATGATGTCGGCTCACTGCAACCTCCTCCTCCTTGGTTCAAGCGATTCTACTGCCTCAGCCTCCCGAGTAGCTGGGATTACAGGTGCTCACCACCATGCCTAGCTAATTTTTGTATTTTTAGTAGAGATGGGGTTTCACCATGTTGGCCAGGCTGGTCTCAAACTCCTGACCTCAGTTGATCTGCCTACCTTAGGCTCCCAAAGTGCTGGGATTACAGATGTGAGCCACCACACCTGGCCAGCTTTTAAAATTTAACCTAAAATCTTGCTCTCTTTAAAAAGTATTCATCTTTCACTTTTTCTTGGATAAATATTTGATACTCAGTTCAAATACAGATTCAACCCTTATAAACTCTAAATTATCTTGGGTTTTATTACATATCAAAATTATTTTTTTATTCAATGTATTTTTCTGAGTACACAAACACCCGATGGGTACAAAAATTTCCAAGTACTATATAAAACTTTTATAAATCTGATAAAGTAACAACTACTAAAAAATCAGATTCTGATACCATTTATGAATATAGAAAATGTTTTATAACTTTCCACTTAAATTACAGATCTGTTATACATTTATAAATTGGAATCAAGAGACTAATCTGCTAGATCCTCTATTGTCAAATTTTCTCAATCATCAGAAAGTTTAAACACATAGATTATCTTTAACATAAAAATATTAATTTCAGTAGTTTCATTTACCATCATTGTACGTTTAATTCTAAACATTCATGGAGTCTAAAGGACACTTAACTAAGGCAGCAGTTCTCAAAGCATGGTCCCCATACTAGCAGCATCAGTATCCCCTGAGAACTTACTAGAAATGCACATTCTCAGACTCCAATGTAAACCTCCTGAAGGGTGGGGCCCACCAATCTGTGTTTTGGCAAGCCCTCCAGATGACTCTGATGGACACCAAGTTTGAGAATCACTGCTCTAGAGACAGCTACTGTAAGCTCTTATTTATTTATTTATTTATTATTTGAGACAGAGTCTCGCTCTGTCGCCCAGGCTGGAGTGCAATGGCATGATCTTGGCTCACTGCCTCTGCCTCATGATCTTGCCTCTGCCTCCTAGGTTCAAGCTGTTCTTCTACCTCAGCCTCCTGAATAGCTGCGATTACAGGCACCCGCCATCATGCCTGGCAAATTTTTTTGTATTTTTATAAAAACGGGGCATCACCGTGTTAGCCAGGCTGCTCTTGAACTCCTGACCTCAGATGATCTGCCTGCCGTGGCCTCCCAAAGTGCTGGGACTATAGGCTTGAGCCACTGTGCCAGCCTAATTAAAATAAAAAAAAACAAAAAAAAACTTTGTTTGTTTGTTTGTTTGTTTGTTTGTTTATTTATTTATTTATTTTGAGGTGGAGTTTCGCTCTTGTTGCCCAGGGTGGAGTACAATGGCGTGATCTCGGCTCACTGCAACCTCCACCTCCCAGGTTAAAGCGATTCTCCTGCCTCAGCCTTCTGAGTAGCTGGGATTACAGGTCTGCACCACCACGCCCAGCTCATTTTTTGTATTTTTACTAGAGATAGGGTTTCTCCATGTTGGTCAGGCTGGTCTCTAACTTCTGACCTCAGGTGATCCACCTGCTTCGGCCTCCCAAAGTGCTGGGATTATAGGCATGAGCCATTGCGCCTGGCAAAAAACTTTTTTTAGAGACAGGGTCTTGCTCTGTCACCCAGGCTGCAGTGTAGTGGTGCAATCGTAGCTCACTGCCCCCTTAAACTCCTGGGCTCAAGCAATCCTCTCACTTTAGTCTCCCAAGTAGCTGGGACTACAGGCATGTGCCACTATACCCTGCTAATTTATTTTTATTTTTGGTAGAGCCGGGAGTCTCATTATGTTCCCCAGGCTAGTTTGAACTCTGAGCCTAAAGTAATCTTCTCACCTCTGCCTCTCAATATGCTGGAATTAGAGCTGTGAACCACTATGTCTGACAGCTCTTTTTATCTGTATGTTAAGCTGCATGGCTATCAAAAGAATATGCATTAGAATCATCTGAAAGGTTTATAAAACCAGATTACAGGACCCTGCCTTTGGAGTTTCTGCTTTAATAGGTCTGGGATAAGGCCTGATAATTCAAATTTCTAACGAGTTCCTGGGTGATACTGACACTACTGGTCTGGTGACTACACTCTGAGAACCACAGAGCTAAGGGAACAGGTTTGTCATTTCAGGTTACCGAATGAGCAGTTTAAGACCACAATATGTTTACCATCTCAGATGAACTGATATGCCACTTAGTTATAAGCCAGAAATTCAAAGCCAAGGATGCAAAACCTGATACTCTGTACAGCCAAGGTAGTTCTGTGGTACTAGAAATAATCATGCTAAGCCCTTTTTATAGTTAACTATAACAACAGGAGTCTCTAAATCCATGTCCTTCACATGGGGTTAGTTTTGTAATCCATCTCCTGTAAGTTCAAGGTAATCGTTACCTCATTTTTTCATAGCCTTTTCAACTCTTATCGCCTGGTTTGGAAAGATTTGTCAGGTTGCTTCTCTACTTGATTGGATTCAGGTAATCTATTTATTGTCTCATTCCAAACCTGACTATAGACCACAACTGTAAGGTAATTCCAATAAAAATTTGGAACAGCATTTTCTGTAAACCATATAATGTATTTTCTATATTTTGATCATTATTATTATTATTTTGAGGCAGAGTTTCGCTCTTGCCCAGGCTGGAGTGCAGTGGCATGATCTCAGCTCACTGCAGCCTCTTCCTCCTGGGTTCAATAGATTCTTCTACCTCAGCCCCCCAAGTAGCTAGGATTACAGGTGCCCGTCATCATGCCCAGCTAATTTTTGTATTTTTAGTAGAGACAGTGTCTCACCATGTTGGCCGTCTGGTCTCCAACTCCTGACCTCAAGTAATCCACCTGCCACCTCGATCATTGTCTTTAAGAAGAAATTTTTCCTTTCCTTTTGTCTGCTTTACGTTCAAACATTTAAAAATCTCTTTCTTTTGAAGTTAAATCTGGGCACAGCCTAGTATAATCTGGTTGCTTGTATTTGTTGTCTGTTCTAGGTTCACTTCTTCAACAGCTTTTTTCATAGACAGCTGGTAACCAAAGGATATAATGGAGTAAAAAGATGGACTAAAAAGGTATCCTCTTTATTTCTTCTTTATTCTAAATTTGGAATGCAGATGATAAGCCACTTTGGGTGGAAGGATAAGAACTTTAATGCCAATTTGATGTTAAGTAGAAACAGACTCTTTAATGTGAGAAGTTTTAAAATTGTTTATTTTAAATCTTACTATTTGAAAGACCTTAATTGCCTCCTGGTCCCAAGTACAGTGGTAGAACAGTGGGCTGATAAAGAGCTGCCATCATTTGGTTATCTGGTGGGCTGGTCAGCAGATAGCAGAGGCTTTCAGAAATTTTTTACCAGTGCTGGGCATGGGCACGGTGCTTTGCACCTGTAGTCCCAGCTACTTGTGATGCTGAGACCAGAGGATCACTGGAGCCCGAGCATTTGAGGCCAGCTTGGGCAGCATAGCCAGATCCTGTCTCTTAAAATGTTAACTGATCCGTCACGAGAAATAACTTTTATATCACAGTCTATACATAAAATCATATATATACAAGTAATTGAAAGAATTTCCAAAAACCATGTACCTAATTTACTATGTATGATGTACTCTAATTAGAGAGTGATAAGTGCTATTTGCTGTAGAAACATTAGAACATAGTATGAGAATACAACGTAATGAGGATAGGGTAGCAGGAGGGAGGCGGAAGATGGGCTAGTTCTTTTAGATAGGCTCATAAGGAAGGCCTGTTTGAAGAGGTCACATTTCACTGAAAACTCAGTGGTGAGAAGGACCAGCCATGTGAAGATCAGAGGAGCATTCTGGGTAGATGGAACAGTGAATGTTAAAGGCCCTGAAGCAGAAGTGAGCTTGGTATGTTGGAGTGTTACACACATGAGATCAGGGGTGTAGGCAGGGATCGAGTCATGTGGGGCCATGTAGGCCCTGGTAAAGAGTTTGGATGATGAGGGCAATTTGAAGACATTAGGGAGTTTAGCCTGGGCGTGGTGATTCACACCTATAATCCTAGCACTTTGGGAGGCTGAGGTGGGCAGATCACTGGAGATTAGCCTGGCCAATGTGGCAAAACCCTGTCTCTACTCAAAATACAAAAATTAACCAGGCATGGTGGTGCGCGCCTGTAATCCCAGCTATGTGGGAGGCTGAGGTGGGAGAATTGCTTGAACATGGGAGGTGGAGGTTGCAGTGAGCCAAGATCGCACTACTGCACTCCAGTCTGGGTGACAGAGCAGACTCCATCTCAAAAGAAAAATAAATAAAAAATAAAAATGAAGACAATAGAGAGTTTAAACAGCAGGTTGAAGGGTGTGTGTGAGTGTGTGTGTATGAATGATAGATAGGTTTGTCCTTAGCAGCATTCCTTCATTCATTAAACAGTTAAGTACCTGCTATGTGCCTCATATGGAAAAGCTGTTTTTTCCTCTGCTGTCACACCACAATAGTCAGCACAGAAGACCAAAGCAAGCAAGCAGTTCTGCAGCAAACACTGGCTAGTTGCCCTCTAATTCAGTTCCAATGTTATCTACCTGGAGACAGTGCCACATCCCATAGGCTGAGGGCTTATGCCTCAAGAGTGCCCGCCACCCACTTCAGACACCAGTTGCAAGTCCAGGCTTCTGAAACTTCTGACCAACAGACTTCAAGTGAGGGTTCCAATGCTCTCCTCCTTGAGTTTGATTAATTTGCTAGAGCAGTTCACAGAACTCAGGGATGTTCTTACCTACATTTATCCGTTTATTGTAAAGGATATGGATGAAGAGATGCATGGGAAGAGATTAGGGGAGCGGCCACAGGGAATCTCCATGACCTCCCCAGGCACACTACTCTCCAGGAACCTCCACATATTTAGTATCTGGAAGCTCTCCCAGTGCAGTCCTTTTCATTTTTTTATGGAGGCTTCATTGCATAGGCAATTGACTAAACCACTGACCATTGGTTAACCTTTAGTTCCTCTTCCCTTCCCAGTGGTTGGGGGTTGGGTGGGGCTGAAAGTCACAATCTTCTAATTCTGCCTTGCTCTTTCTGGTGACCAGCCCCTATCCTAAAGCCACCTAGGAGTCGCCAGCCATCAGCTAATCATTAACATATAAAAAGACATCACTGACATCACTTTGGGCTGGGTGTGGTGACTCACACCTGTAATCCCAACACTTTGGGAGGTCCAGGCGGGCAGATCACTTGAGGTCAGGAGTTCAAAACCAACTTCTATTCAACATAGTATTGGAAGTTCTGGCCAGGGCAAGCAGACAAGAGCAAGAAATAAAGATATTCAGATAGGAAGAGAGGAAGTCAGATTGTCTCTGTTTGCAGATGGCATGATTCTGTATTTAGAAAATCCATCGTCTCAGCCCCATAACTAAGTTGATAAGCAACTTCAGCAAAATCTCGGTTACAAAATCAGTGTGAAAAATCACAAGTGTTCCTATACACCAGCAGTGGACAAGCAGAGACCCAAATCATGAATGAACCCCCATTCACGATTGCTACAAAGAGAAATATATGGGAATACAGCTCATAAGGGATGTGAAGGACCTCTTCAAGGAGAACTACAAATCACTGCTCAAGGAAATAAGAGAGGACACAAACAAATGGAAACATATTCCATCCTCGTGAATAGGAAGAATCAATATTGTGAAAATGGCCATAGTGCCCAAAGTGATTCATAGATTCAATGCTATTCCCATCAAACTACCACTGGCATTCTTCACAAAATTAGAAAAAACTACTCTAAAATTCATATGGAAGAAAAAAGCCTATATAGCCAAGATAATCCTAAGCAAAAAGACCAAAGCTAGAGGCATCGTATTACCTGACTTCAGACTATACTACAAGGCTGCAGTAGCCAAAACAGCATGGTACTGGTACCAAAACAGACTGCTACCGATGGAACAGAACAGAGACCTCATAAATAACACCTTACCTCTACAACCATCTGATCTTAAACACACCTGACAAAAGCAATGGGGAAAGGATTCCCTATTTAATAAATGGTGCTGGGAAAACTGGCTAGCCATATGCAGAAAACCGAAACTGGACCCCTTCCTTACACCTTACCCAAAAATTAACTCAAGATGGATTAAAGACTTAAAGGTAAAACCCCAAACCATAAAAATCCTAGAAGAAATCCTAGGCATTATTACCATGGACAAAGACTTCATGACTAAGATACCAAAAGCAATGGCAACAAAAGCCAAAATAGACAAAAGGGATCTAATTAAACTAAAGAGCTTCTGCACAGCATAAGAAATATTGTTAGAGTGAACAGGCAACCTATAGAATGGGAGAAATTTTTTGCAGTCTACCCACCTGACAAAGGTGTAATATCCAGAACCTACAAGGGACTTAAACAGATTTACAAGAAGAAAACAACCCCATCAAAAAGTGGGCAAAGCATGTGAACAGACATTTTGAAATGTCTTCGAAAGAAGGTGCCTGTAGTCCCAGCTATACGGGAGGCTAAGACAGGAGAATTTCTTGAACCTGGGAGGTGGAGTTGCAGTGACCTGAGATCACACTACTGTACTCCAGTCTGGGCGACAGAGTGAGACTTCATCTCAAAAAAAAAAAGGAAGAAGACGACATGTATGTGACCAAATAATGTATGAAAAAAGCTCACTGACTGGGCGCAGTGGCTCCCATCTATAATCCCAGCACTTTGGGAGGCTGAGGCGGGTGGATCACCTGAGGTCAGGAGTTTGAGACCAGCCTGGCCACATGGTGAAATCCCATCTTTACTAAAAAATTAAAAAATATTAGCTGGTGGTGGGAGCTTGTAATCCCAGCTACTCAGGAGGCCGAGGCAGGAGAATCACTTGAATCCAAGAGGCAGAGGCTGCAGAGAGCCAAAATCGCACCACTGCACTCTAGCCTGGACAGCAAAAGTGAGACTCCATCTCAAAAAAAAAAAAACAGAAAAGAAAAAGTTTTTTCTTTTCTGTTTTTTTTTTTTTTTCTTTTTGAGCTGGAGTCTCGCTCTGTCTCCCAGGCTCCCGTGCAGTAGTGCAATCTTGGTTCAAGCAATTCTCTTGTCTCCAGGCTCCCGAGTAGCTGGGCTACAGATGCATACTGCCACATCCAGCAATGTGTGCTAATTTTTGATATTTTTAGTAGAGACAGGGTTTCACTATATTGGTCAGGCTAGTCTCAAACTCGTGACCTCAGGTGATCCACCTGCCTTGGCCTCCCAAAGTGCTGAGATTACAGGGGTGAGCCAGCACACCAGGCCAAAAATTTAAAACATTTAAAATTTTGAGGCAATCTCCCAGAAAGTGCCACAAAATGACAGACTGAAACTAATGTAAAAACTAACAGAAAAAGGTTTTCAGAGATGTAAGTTATCCAGATATTTACCTCTCATCCTTCTCAGAGTCACAGGAGGAGGTACTCTGGCAAGAAGACATAGCATCCAAGCAATGAAATCCAGAACAAGGGTCAGGCAAAGAGAATACTAAACATAACAGTAAAAATAGATGCAGAATGACAATGTGCCTCAAGCCTGGAGAACCACCAATCCTGAAGGGAGCAGAAAAAAAGGCTCCAAGAATGTGATACTGATACAATTTCTAAAGTATATGAATGCAAAAAAAAAAAAAAAAAAAAAAAAAAAAAAAAGAGAGAGAGATAGGCAACCAGAAGAGAGTTTGCAGTTAGTAGATACAGAGAACACTAAGCAAAAGATAAAGACAATTAATTTCAGGGACCGTGAAAAAATGTACAAGAAAGGGAAAATAGTGGTTGTAAACCTTGGTATACTACATGACTTAGCTATGACAATCATTTACATAATAGTAATCAGCTATAGGACAGTTCTGTCACCTCCAAAAGAGTCCTCATAATCCTTCATACAACGCTTCTTGGCCTAGCCCCTAACCCAGCAACCACTAAACTGCTTTTTGTCATTCTAGATAACTTTGCATTTTCTAGAATTATATAAGTAAAATCATGCCTCATACTATTTTGTTTGGTTTCTTTCACTCAACATAATGGTTTTGAGGTTCATCCGTGTTATTGCATGTGTCAGTAGTGTATTTCTTTTAGTTGCTGAGTAGTGG